ATGCTCACACAGCTCATGTATCAGTCTGAGGTTACGAACTGTGGCCCCAGCTGAAAGAGGGGCCCTCAGGTATCCAATGATGCAGGAATTTAATCTTGCTGGTACTTTAAATGTACAACATTTTATTCCATCAATGAGGATTAAAGTCCTACGCAGCATAATGGCATAAACCAGGGGTTCTCAACCCAGTCCTCAGGACCCCCTACCAGTCCAGGATTTGGGGATTACCTGGGTGTTTAGAAAAAGGGAAAAAAACACCTTAGACTCTAAGGTGTTTTTTTTTTCTTTTTCTAAACACCTTAGACACACCCAGGTAATCCCTAAACCCTGGACTGGTAGGGGGTCCTGAGGACTAACGTTGAGAACCCCTGGCATAAACCATCATGCAGTCCTTAATGGGTTAAATAAGTACACAATGGAATACAAATAAAAGCAACCAACAGTGATATGATCTTTGACATGTGTTTTATACCTTGTACAATAGGCTTTGCCAGTCACCTATCGACTGATATTAAATCAACCCCATTGTAGGCTGATTTTATATCACTGTGAATTTTATATTTATTGAGTTTTATATTGACACTTTAATACTGCACCTCACAGTTTCTAATGAATGTATTTAAGTTTGTGTACAAAGATGAAGCACTTATAGTGTAGGATGTAGGTTTTTGGAGGTGTTATATTTTACATACCACTTTACAAAATACGATGGAGACACTTTTTAAGTTTCCCCCTGGAAGGATAAGGAAGGGGGAGCATGACTGCTGCCCAAGATTGGGGGCTGGGTTAAAATGGATACATTTGTGGTTCTTAAGGAAAGGGAGAGGGAGGGGACTTACCAGTCAGCAGGTTCATTGAGGGATCTTGGCTGTTTTCTTACCTGACTGGCCCTGTAATTCAAGACAAACAGTTAGAATAAAAAAAAATAAAAAATGTTTGATTATCACCTAAACAGCGCATTCTACTGAGACTGACGGTCCACTTGCAGCAATTATGGCTGACACTGGAGCTGCTTTGCAGAGACTTCTGCAGACTTACCTGGAGACCCATGGACAAGGGGCCCTGGAGGAGCTGGTGTCGGGCGTGAGGAATGTCCCCCAGGATGTAAGGGCCGGTCAGTCTGCATGCCGAGACGGACGGAGGGCCAGAGTTGGACTAAGTTAAAAATTATTATGTTAAATAAAGCTGTGGCCGTTGCCCTTATCCACAAGAAGAATGTGTCACGTGTATTATTTGGGGGGCAACGGGTTTATTGGTTGGGGGACTGGTTGGGTCAGCAGTCAAGTTTCCCCCTGGAAGGATAAGGAAGGGGGAGCATGACTGCTGCCCAAGATTGGGGGCTGGGTTAAAATGGATACATTTGTGGTTCTTAAGGAAAGGGAGAGGGAGGGGACTTACCAGTCAGCAGGTTCATTGAGAGATCTTGGCTGTTTTCCCACCCTCCCACCCTGTTTCTGGTGTTGTGGCTTGTGTCTTGTTTTCTTGTTTTGTGTTGTCACAGCTTGGCGGGTTTCCCTGGACAGCGCAGAAGAAAAGGAGCTTTGGGGAGACGACAGCCTGCACGGAGCTGATGGCGAGGAGCCGGCTGTCGAGGCTCATGGTATAGAAGTTGGGAGAACTGCCTGTTGGGAAACACCCAACAGCTGGCAGAGTTGGACTAAGTTAAAAATTATTATGTTAAATAAAGCTGTGGCCGTTGCCCTTATCCACAAGAAGAATGTGTCACGTGTATTATTTGGGGGGCAACGGGTTTATTGGTTGGGGGACTGGTTGGGTCAGCAGTCATGCACTTTAAAAGGTTTAATTTAAAGGACCACTGTAGTGCCAGGAAAACATACTCGTTTTCCTGGCACTATAGGGTCTCTACGTCCCCCCCCACCCTCAGGGCCCCCCTCCCGCCGGGCTCTAGGGGGTTAAATCTTACTTTTTTCCCCCCGCCGGGCTCCCTTGGCGCGGGGAACTCTCCTCCTCCTTTTCGCCGTGATCGGCTGAATGCGCATGCGCGGCAAGAGCCGCGCGCGCATTCAGCCAGTCCAAAGGAAAGCATTCTCAATGCTTTCCTATGGACGCTGGCGTCTTCTCACTGTGAAAATCACAGTGAGAAGCGCGGAGGCACCTCTAGTGGCTGTCAACGAGACAGCCACTAGAGGCTGGATTAACCCATTTGTAAACATAGCAGTTTCTCTGAAACTGCTATGTTTATAGCAGAAAGGGTTAATTCTAGATGGACCTGGTACCTAGACCACTTCATTAAGCTGAAGTGGTCTGAGTGCCTATAGTGGTCTTTTAAGCGCTCCACAATTCACTATAAAAATAAACCTAAAATTCCAGAGTCAGTGACTCAATCATTTTGTTTAAATGATTACTCTAAGGACCATAACCACTACAGTGCACTATAATAGTTATGGTGTTGAGTGTCCTTTGGCACTTCCACTGGTAAACTGTCAGACATTCTGTGAACAGTTTGACACTTGGCTCTGTTGGACGTACTCTGTCCTTCTTGTCTGCAGTTATGTGCTAAAGTGGAAATTCATACTGTCAGCTACCGGACACTGGCCATATTAGGAAATGGTCTGCCCTGCAAGAGCATTGAACCAAAATGCTCACTTTGAGAGGAAGCGTGCTTACCATTGATGATGATAAAACACACCCCCTCTGGCTGGCCCCGTTCTCAGTGGGCCACTGTGATTAAAAATGCTCTGGCCAAATTTTTTCCACAAAAGAACCAACGGTGTGTAAGCGCTGTAGAATAAGATACAAACAGTATGGCAGCACTTAACCCCTTCAGGACGGAGTCAATAGTGCACGTTCTGATCAAAACAAAACGTAAACAAAAACTGGAATTTGCGCTAAATGTCTGTTCAACCGTAATTCCCCGCTGTCACATTAAGTGCACCCACACTTATTATATATCATTTTGTTCAGGAGAAACAGGGCTTTAATTTATGATTAACTATTCATATATGGAACATAATTTACTATGAAGAAAATGTAAAAAAATGTGAGAAAATAAGATTTTTTAAAAACATTTGTATTTCCGTCTGACATTTTAGCTGTGAATGTCAAAATACTGTTAGGTTTTACTGCAAAAAAATGCACATATTTGTAATCAGCAATGCCTCACGAGTACAACAGTACCCCCCATTAACAGGTTTTATGGTGTTTTGGAAAGTTACAGGGTCAAATATAGAACGTTCCATTTTCAAATTGAAATTTGCCAGATTAGTAATGTTACCTTTGAGACGGTGTGGTAGCCCAGGAATGAGAATTACCCCCATAATGGCCTACCATTTGAAAAAGTAGACATGCCAAGGTATTGAAAGTGGAACAGTTGTGAAATGAAACATTGACCACTTGGATTAAATGCCTATTTTTTCATGCTGAAGTCCTTGAGTGCTGGCTTTCTTTTTGGAGACTGTATTTGTGTGCAGCTGAGCACCGGGCTAAGATCTGGAGGAGAGCTGGAGATTAAAACTCCCATCGTATTGTATTATATACAATATATATATACATATGTTATATATATATAAAAATACATTTATTTTATTTTTAAACATGTTGAATAAATTTCACACCAGCAGGGGGACTGTCTGATATTTCAGACAGTCCCCCTGCTGGCAGATCCACAGCCAGCTTTAGGGGGCCATGTGATCGCAGTGTTGCGATGGTAGCGGCTGGACAGTGGAGGACCTGGAGGTGCACCAAGGCATGCAACGCCACGTCACCTTCCAAAGTGATGTTAACGTGATCCATCTTTACAGGGTTTCAAGGAGTAGCAGGAAGATCCGCTTTGGCACAGGGTGTGGACGGCGCCATTAGGGGTATACCAGAGGCTGGACTCCGGAGTCACATACTGGCAGTGTCAATGTGAATGGAGTCTGCTTGTTGGGTAATGTTTTTTTTTTTAACAAGGGTCAGGGTTTAGTATAGGGGGGTGCTGGGATTTAATATAGAGGGGAGGACTGGGAGTTAGTATAGAGGGGGGAACTGGGTATTAGTAGAGGGTGGGCTGGGTTTTAGTAGAGGGGGTTCTGTTTTTTTTATACTGTACTTTTTAAAACAAACTTACGTTTCTATTAAAACTTAAGTTGTTTTTTTTTTTTTTTTGTGGCCCACATAAACTTAAACCTTGTTTATTTGGCTCGTGCTAGCCTTTGAGTTTGACATGCTTGTTTTACTGGGTTAAGAGAACAGGGGCACTTCATCCAGACCACTTTAATGAGATAAAGTGGTCTGGGTGCCTTATAGTGTCCCTTTAGCTAAATGATATACACACACACATATATGTGTGGGTGCTGTATGTGTATTGGTGCTGTGTATGTGTGTGGGTGCTGTGTATGTGTGTAGATGCTGTGTTAGCCTGTGGGTGCTTTATGTGTGTAGGTGCTGTATGTGTGTAGGTGCTGTGTATGTCTCTGGGTGCTGTATGTGTGTTGGTGCTGTGTATGTCTGTGGGTGCTGTATGTGTGTTGGTGCTGTGGATGTGTGTGGGTGCTGTATGTGTGTGGGTGCTGTATGTGTGTAGGTGCTGTGTATGTCTGTGGCTGCTGTATGTGTGTTGGTGCTGTGTATGTATGTGGGTGCTGTATGTGTGTGGGTGCTGTGTATGTCTGTGGGTGCTGTATGTGTGTAGGTACTGTGTATGTGTGTGGGTGCTGTTATGTGTGTAGGTGCTGTGTATGTGTGTGGGTGCTGTATGTGTGTAGGTGTTGTGTATGTGTGTGGGTGCTGTGTATGTGTGTTGGTGCTGTGTATGTGTGTTGGTGCTGTGTATGTGTGTGGGTGCTGTGTATGTGTGTGGGTGCTGTATGTGTGTGGGTGCTGTATGTGTGTAGGTGCTGTATGTGTGTAGGTGCTGTATGTGTGTTGTAAAAGTGTATGTCTGTGTTGTATGTGTGTAGATGTGTTTGTATGTTCAGGGTGCTGTGGGCGTGTAGGCGCTGTGTGTGTGTGTGTGTGCTGTATGTGTGTAGGTGCTGTGTATGTCTGTGGGTGTTGTATGTGTGTGTGTGTGCTGTATGTGTGTAGGTGCTGTGTATGTCTGTGTGTGCTGTATGTGTGGGTGTGTGTGCTGTATGTGTGTGTGCTGTATGTGTGTAGGTGCTGTGTATGTCTGTGTGTGCTGTATGTGTGTAGGTGCTGTGTATGTCTTTGGGTGCTGTATGTGTGTAGGTGCTGTGTATGTCTGTGGGTGCTGTATGTGTGTGGGTGCTGTTTGTATGTGGGTGTTTGTGTGTGGGTGCTGTATGTGTGTAGGTGCTGTGTATGTCTGTGTGTGCTGTATGTGTGTAGGTGCTGTGTGTGTGGGTGTTTGTGCTGTATGTGTGTGGGTGATTGTGGGGGATGGAGGTGGAGGTACATAATAGGGAGGGGGGATTCTTGTTCCTGCTGCTTTCCCTGGTGGTCCAGTGGAGAGTGAACTCTAGCCCCTGTGGGGATAGAGTTCACTCTCGCGAGATCTGAGCGTTGCTGCGGCAACGCTCAGATCTCGCGAGAGAAACACAGCGGAGCTGCCAGCAATAGCTTCCTGGGTCCTCTCCTGCCTCCCTCACTGCCTGTGGGTCGGTGGGGAGGGAGGCTGAGAGCAGAGCCGGCGCTCGGATAGCGCCGGCTCTGCATGAGCCGACAGGGGAGATCCTGAGATCTCCCCTGCCGGTCTCACTCCATAGGCGTGCAGCGGGGATTAGGATGTGCCCAGGCACACCCAGCACACCCCGTGCGCCCACCTATTCTTGCACTGCTGTACATCTATAATGCAGTTTAAATGAATACAGTACAAAGGTGTAAATTACTGTATTGCACCCTGTAAAAGAAACGTGAACCATAAACATTTAAACCACCTAAGGGACGATTATAAACATTTTCTGCAGATTAAGTCATAGGATTCATTATTTGAATATACTTATAGTTAATCATCCCATCCACTGCTATTATGTTATGTATAATAGAAGCACATTTTAAGTTAGTTCTAGAGCTTTGCATACCGCATGCTGCTGGCAGGGCCGGATTAACATAGGGGCTGATGGAGCTGCACACACTACTCTTAGGGATTCCACCTGGCTTTTATTTTATTGGCACAGCCAGTATTTGAGGCTGCCTGGCTAGTGTCAATATTGCAGTGATACTGGCAATACAAATGCTGGTATTTTTCTCAGTATAAACAAGAGATTACTATGCAATACCAGCACTGGCCAGTAGGGGTCACTGTGTGTGGAGACAGGCAGGGATAGGAAGTTCCAGCATATCCCTCCCTGCCTATCTATACTCACTGATCTGCAGGGGTGCAGCTACAGAGAGCCCAGACAGCAACTCCCACCCTGCAGAGACAGCCTACAGCTCAGGGAAGTAAGGGATGGGGGGAAAGGCTGCAATGAGACATACACTGAGACACTAAGGGACATTGGGAGACATTATGACAGACACATGGGGACACAGTGTCCCCATGTCTCCCAGCCAGTGCCCCCTAGTCTCCAAGTGACCCCTAGTCTCCCAGTGCCCCCAGTCTGCCAGTGTCTCACTGTCCCCATGTCTCCTAGTGTCTCCATGTCTCTCAGTGCCTCAAGTGTCACAATGTCCCCATGTCTCCAAGCTAGTGTCCCTAGTGTGTGTGGCCCTGGTGTCTCAGTGTCCCCATGTCTCCCAGTGCCCCCATGTCTCAATGTCCCCATGTCCCTCAACCAGTGTCTCTAGTGTCTGTGTCCCTGGTGTCTGTGTCCCCATGTCTTCAAGTGTCCCCTATTTTCCCATTGTCCCCATGTGTCCCAGCCAGAGTCCCCTAGTCTCCCAGTGTCACTGGTGTCTCCGTGTCCCTAGGTCTCCCCGTGTCCCCAAGTCTCCCCGTCTTTCTAGTGTCCTAGTGACATGGGGACCCTGGGATACATGGGGACACAGGGAGACATCGGGCATTAAGACACTGTGATACATAGGATCACTGGGAGACCCGGGGACACGACACTAGGGGACACTGGGAGACATGGGGCGCTGAGACACTGATACATAGGAACACTGAGACTTGGAGTAATCGACACATGGGGGCACTGGGAGACATGGGGGCACTGGGAGGAATCCATCTATACAGCAGAATCAAACTAAGTCATTTTTTGGTGATTTTACAGAATTTTCTCTTATGTCACTCTTTGTGATTTACATCATGTGATGTCACCCATACATATTTAATTATGCAAATTAGTAAGGCCGGTATGTTTTTCCAAGAAAGGTGGCAACCCTAACTACTTTTTACATACTCTTACTTAAGTATGGAAACTTAAGAGGGATGTATGGGAACAAAACTTGTGTGGACTGGTTGACAATGAATATAGTTAAAGGGACACTATAGTCACCAGAACAACTACAGCTTATTGAATTTGTTCTTGTGAGTAGATTCATTACCGTCAGGCTTTTTGCTGTAAACACTGTCTTTTCAGAGAAAATGCAGTCTTTACATTACAGCCTAGTGATAACTTCACTGACTACTCCTTAGATGACTGTTAGAGATCCTTCCTGGGTCATGGCTGCCTAAAATGCATCCAAACATTCAGTGTCTCCTCCCTCTGCATGTAGACACTGAACTTTCCTCATAGAGATTCATTAATTAAATTCATCTATATAGGGAGATGCTGATTGGCCAGGGCTGTGTTTAAATCATGCTGGCTCTGACCCTGATCTGCCTCTTTATCAGTCTCAGCCAATCCTATGGGGAAGCACTGTGATTGGATCAGGCCACCACTTCTAATGATGTCAGCAGACTGCTTGTTTTTATGAGTCTAACAGCATGCAGAGTTACAGCTTCAGGCTTGAATATAGATTTTGCTATATTTATGGAGGCATGAGGGGTCCAGGGGGGGCTAGATGGTGGTGTTAATACTATAGGGTCATGAATTCATGTTTGTAATCCTGACCCTCTTGTGATCCTTTAAGGTAATGCTGACTTTGGTCTCTCTAACACTGTGGCATGTTCCCTTTCTTCTACACTCACTACATACAGCTTTTCTCCTTCACAGACTATATACCAGGAGCTTCTGCCTGCTAATAAGAAGGTAAGGAGACAAGTGGACCAGCGAGTGCTAGGGAACAGTCCTTAGAAAGCGTTGAGTGAGCGCATCATTAGATGCATTTATGCCAAGCTCAGGGTGCTGTCTGCATAGTATGCCCTTAGTTGGCCAGCTGCATGATTGGCAGGCAGCCTGACATGCATTCATGCCAGACTGGCCTTCTAATTCTTTGGGCAGACATGTCCTCTTTTTGGGCATGTTCGCCCCTTTTGGCAGGTTACGTGATTTGTGTCAGTGGCACACCCTTTTACCATGCCCATTGACTTCATGCCTGACTGGACACTACTGTTAGGGGTTATGGATTTACTTGAAAGATGAAAACATAAATTAGAGAGAGATTAGCCTAGGATATGTGTTTTCTTATAGCTGCTGTTTTCTTTCTCTCCAGCACCATCTCTATCAGATACATGATGCTTGGGAGTGTTTTACTGTTTTTGGTTGATATGATTCTGTTATTAGCCCGTCATAATTGTCAGCACCAGGCCCACTGGGCTCTTAATCTGGCCCTGGCTGCTGGCATTAACAATGAAAAGGCTGTTCATCAATGGAAGAAGTCATACTGCTTAATGGGTTTTGACTAACTTCCACAGAATTTTATAATGAGCTAAATGTGACTTCAATCTGAAGGTTTTTCCAATATGCAAACGAAAAAAACATTTTGGCTAATGATTTTTTTTTAAATGTTAAAAATTAGTTATGTGTTATCTATAATGTTAAATTTTCTTAAGTGTTAAAACAATAAATACCAACAAGCATGTAGTAAATATCAATATAGTTTCATAATATGGTTGGAGCATGGAGCACCCAGAGCCTGCAGGCCAGTCACCCATTTTTTTTTGTTTTAATCATTTATTTAACAATGATGTTTCCTGAATTTTAGAGCAGTGAACATCTGAAACAAAATGTGTTATTTAAACAAAAAGGTTTTTGCAAAGATAGACTGACAACATTTTACTGAAAGGGAACTTGGAGGGGAGAAGGAAGG